ATATGTATATGTATATGTATATGTATATGTATATGTATATGTATATGTATGTGTGTGTTATTCAGCTTTGTTCAGGTATTTTCCCACGTCATTATAGTTGTGCTTTTAAAGTTGTAGCAACGTTTCAGCAGAATCTCATCTGCCATCATCAGGCTTCTGTATTGTGTTCGTCTGTCACAGCTGATAACTGTCAGACGGCCCTGACCCCATCTCTTGCCTCCAATGCAGAGCACTCATCAGAGCCTTCACCCCCTTTCTGTTGGCGTAGAAAACATGCTTTCTCTGTCGTGGCACTTGGAATAGTATCCCCCAAGAGATTTGTAGGGCTTCCACCCTGATAATCACCCAACAGTCCTTGAAATCCAGAATCTCCTTCCAGGTCCTGGAACAAGGTGATTGTTGAACCCCTGTCAGTTGTGTTGTTGTTGTGCATAGGGATTTTTTTTTTTCCTCCTGGATGTCATGATCCATTTCTCAGGGGTTGTTATTTCTTGCTTTTAAAGTAGAAGGTGCAGAGTCTTTTGAAGTTGGGCAATCTCTAAATTATCTTTAAATGTGACGCAACTAAAATGTCAATGACGCTAGAGATAAATTGCTTTTCAGGAGCCGAGTCGATCACCGGAACCAAAGTTTATTTTTCCAAGTTTTGCAGTTCATGTTGGGGCCCATCATAAGGGAACTCCCTTCTCTCCAAAATATATTCTACGCAATTGTGGTTATATGGTGCCTGGTTGTGTATAGCTATTTAGTTGTGTTGATGGTTAGCTATGAAATTGTTGGTTGTTGTTTCCTTGTGCTGCCACTCCCTCGGCTCCTAAGTAGCTGATAAGCTGGTGAAAAATCAATCTTCCTCTTCACTCACAAGGAACCTGTTTCCCAGGCGTCAATCATTTCTCTGGCTTTTTTTGTCCCTGCCCAGCCAACAATCATAATAGCTGTGAAATTGAATGCATGTCCTTGTTTCACTGCAGTGTGAAGCTACCAATGAGTTTGGGTCTCGTTGCTTTGGGTCAAGGGTTTGCGATGTAAGACCATTAAGTCCTAAAAGAAAACTTGGTCAACCATGCTGCTAGCTGACAGAAACCTGAGTTATTGGTGACAGCATAAGAAAGATTTTGGTATGTGACCTTCCATATACGCTGGTTGAACCTTCTTCTCCTGTTGAGTTGTTGTATTAATAAAGCTGCACCGTTTAAAGTCTTGTGCATACTTTTATTGCATGCAGGATAAAACTTGGAATTATAATATTTTTCCCCTCAAAGTGGAAATGGGGAGGGAAAGAGAGAGAGAGAGAGAAGAGAGAGAGAGGAGAGAGAGAGAGAGAGGAGAGAGAAAGAGGAGAGAGAAAGAGGAGACATAGATAGAGAAGTAGAGAGATCACTTTACAAAATATATTTGAACTTAGCGTAACAAAGGGAAATTTAATTAAACAAGCAAACTGGCTGTAGAATTGGTACTGGAAAATTAAAACAAAAAATTAATAACACTGAAAGTAATTTGATAAAGCAGATAAGTCGCTAACCTTGGTAGAAAGCAAATATTTATAAAAATTGGCAGCATGGTTGTAGTTTATTAATAATATTTGTCAAAGTCTACAGATTAAGATAACGTGGGGTTTTGCCAAGTATTTCATGCAATTAACAGAAAATAACATGCATTCAGTTCTTTGTTTATTCTACTTGTGGGCTGCAAAACCAATAGCCATTTGCAACTCTCCAAATAAACAATTATACAATTAAAACGTCCACGGTAAAATTGAGATGTCAGTAATTACAGAAATATAAAAACTGATAATATATTATACAACCAAGATACAGATGAGAGACATATTAATATGAAAATAAAAATAGAATAAGCTGGGCAGCAGTCAATGGGACTATATCATTTGTGCCAAACAAGATAAAGACATGTTGCCAGCTAC